GGATCAGGTCAGGGATTTTGGGGAATTTTCTTTCTGCTCTCCCTTTTCCGGGTGCCTCTGCTGCTCGAGGTTCACTTAAGGAACCTGAAGGCCTTTCTGTCTCCTCTCCAAGTTTTARGAACTCTGTACGACCCATTCCCACATTTTTTTTCCAGTAAATTTCTCCCAAAGCCCCGTTCTCCTTTGTGCTCTGCGTTTCACTCCCCCATCCTTTCCATGCCCTCGTATTTTTTATTCCCCTCTCTTTCTTTTTCCACTTCTCCCCTCTGATTTAATCGTGGCGTTGTTGGGAGGAGAGAGAGGAAACAGCAGAACACGGCRAGCTTTGAGCAGAAAGAGTTAAAAGTTTCTTGGCACCGGAGCAGCGGTTTAGCAACAGATCGATTCATTTAAATGAAAGAAATCACAGCCCGAGCCATCTGATTTTGAAATTTCACATCTTACGCTTCCACTTTAGAACAAAGCTCCCGTTTTTCCTTCTGCCCCTTTATTGTTCCAGGCCGGTGGGTTTTCGCAGGAACTTTGTCTGGGGTTTTTTCCTTTCCCCATATGAAATCAAGGGTTTTTTTTCCCCTTCCCATATGAAATTGGGGTGGTTTTTTTTGCCTCCTATATGAAATTGGGTTTTTTTTCCTTCCCATATGAAAGCAGGTTTTTTTTTCCCTTCCCATATGAAATCGGGGTGTTTTTCCCTTCTCCATATGAAATCAGGAAGCTTTTCCCTTCTCATATGAAATCGGGGTGTTTTTCCCTTCTCCATATGAAATCAGGAAGTTTTTCCCTTCCCATATGAAATCGGTGAGGCACCCAACAGCTGTTCCCACCCTCGAGCGTTGGATTTTGGGAACAGCGTCCATTTTTGGGATAAACAATCACCTCCACGCTGGGAAAACCCAAAAGGGGTGGTCTCCAGCRGGGTTTTGTGGCAGAAGCCCGGCCGCAGGGGTAACCCAAGGAACCGTGTCCGAGCGGGGATTTTCTGTGCCCAGATGTGACGTTTGTGCTCCTCCAACATCTGCAAGGAGTGGCTGCTCAGGGTGACAAAGTATCTGCATTATCCTACACTTTATAGGGTACATAACCCCCATAATGCTTTAATTTTYGAGCCCGAGAGGGATCACAAATAAYTTTTTGTTGCTGTTTGTTCGTTTAAATGCGCCCGAGCCTTGGCACCGGTCCCAGGAGTTTTGTGGCTACGTCAAGGAAAATGAAATAAATCAACTGCTCGGCAGTGAAGTCAGGGATTTTAAAAAGTAGGAACAGGAAAAAGAAATAAAATCTTAAAACATTCAAAAAAATTTTAAAAAATGGAAAAAAATTGAAAAATAAGAAGAAAAAATCTTAAAAAAATTAGAAAATTTTATGAAAAATCTAAAAAAAAATTTAAAATGCAGAAAATTAATCTATTGAAAAATTATAAAAAAAAATATAAAAATGAAGATCAATGGTTTGTGCTAAAGGAATGTGTTTGGAGGAGGATCCTGCAGGGAGTTGGGCCCAGAGGTTTTGCCAGGGAGCCTCTTCCCAGGGGCATTGCCCCAAAGAAAGTCCGGGATGTTCAGGCACGGGTGAATCCTGTCCTGGGCAGGCAGAAAAAGGGTGGGGTGGACTGGCAGAACGTGCAGGGGGAATCCTTTTATTGGGAGCTGCTCCCCAACCCCGACCAAATCCTCAGTGGGGAGGAACAGCCTTAAAAAAAAAAAACCAAACCTTGATTCAAAAGTGGATTAAAAACGGGGTGGTGGTGCCGAGAGAGGGGTGAAGCTCAAGCTCCACCTGGAACGGGGTTGCTGGTGGGTCTGGCTGGTTTGATCCTCCCTCCTCTCCCAGCGGATCCCAAAAAGCGCTGGGGGAACGCCAGGACATCCCCCCCAATATTGGGAATATTTCTGTGGGTGCCGTCGTGGTTACATCTCCTTCCTCGTCTCCATTCTTGTGCAAAATTCAAATAATTCCCCCCCTCCCCAACAGCAGCTGGGCATGGGGTGGGTTTTTTTTTTTTTTAAGTTTTTTTTTTTTTAAGTCGCTCTTTAACGTTGCGAAAGGAACAATAAAATGAAAGGCAAAACCGGCATCTTAAAACTTGGCAAGTGAAAGCAGCTTGGACTGGCAGCCAAGAATCCTGCTGTGGTGCAAAAAGAATAGCATCCACGGAGCCACCACAATCCGGGGCTTCTCCTCTTTTAACAATCGCGTCGGCACAGAGAAATAATTATTCCTTGTGTCACTGTTAAAAGAGTCAACGAGCTTAAAAAAAGCTTGCTTGGTGAACCTCCTCCAAAGCAGGTAATGACGCTCCTTTTTGATTCTGTTTTTTTCCAGCTGGAATTGTTTTTTGGGTTTTTTTTTTGGATAAGGATCTAGAGATGAGAACTAATCACTTGAAGGAGTTTGGTGGGTTTGGTACTAACGACCAGGGAAGGAGTTTGACGGGGTAACCTCCAGGGTTTTTAATTTTCYTGGATGGGTTTTTGGTGGGAGTAGGACTGGCGAACTTCTGGAGCGGTTTTGTTACGAGGAATGTTTTATTGCCACGGATTTAACTCCTCAGGCTGCGGGGAGGGCGCGAGTGGATGGTGGAACATGGAAAAATGAATTCAAAAAAAACCTTCAAAAATGAGGATATTGGGAGGGGGAAGTGATTTCTCTCGTAGGACCTTGGCTGTTCCTTTTCTCCTCTGAAACTGTAGCCTCTGGGTGTAGAAAACCAGCAGCCATTCCTTGAAAACTTGCCATGAAAATATCCCTGAATATTTTGTCTTCCAGAACACGTTCCCCAGGAGTTGGGCCTAAGCAATATGGCAGCGGACGCTCCATAGGAAATCCTGAAAATGCTGCTGCTGCTGCTGAGGTAACTGGGATTCTCAGTCAAGATCTCTCTTCTCCTTCTCACTCCTTAAAAAATATTTCAAGCCCAGAAATCCTTAAAGAGTTGGTTTTTAAAGCTAGCATAGAATGTATGTATGTTTTATATATATATATATATATTTATAGGCCTAATTACCTTGGGGTTAAAACTGGAGGGAGGGAAAGAATGGGAATTATTTCACAGTCGTGTTTCTTATTTGCCTGATTTTGGGGGCAGAAGGATGAAATGGCTGCRAACAGCTCTTTGCTCAGGCACACAATGCATTCCGTAATGATCGATTTTCCTGGACAGGGCATTTCTGCTCTGTGGTTTGCAAGAAAACCACCCACAGCCCGAGCCCCRGCGTTAGGTCTTTAGGGGTTTTATTTCTCCATATTCCTTTGGCTATAAATCTCTGAAATACCAGCTTTATGCTGGCTCGTTACGGATAAAAATATAAAAAAAAATATATTGTATTTTTGGCCGTCCCACGTTGATCCTGGTGATCGTTGAGATTAGAAAATTAATAACGAAGCAAAGTTTGCTCAGCACAAGGAAACAGCAGACTTTAATCTAAATACCTTCATGGAGGGGTTGGAACTTTTTATTTGTAGTCTCAGCATTCGAGACAAATACGGGGTGATGCTGATTGATTTGTTTGCCTCTCATGGATTTTCTGCCACTGCGTGTGTGTTCATCAGGTTTTCACAAGGTGCARTAGCTGGGTGATTAATCAGTGGGGAAAAACGTTCCCAACCCCAGATCTTGGCTAGTCCATGGCTCTCTTTGCATCCCCCTGAATATATTGGATACGAGTGAAATTCCTGTTTAAAATAAAAAAAAAAAAAATTAAAAATCTGTGTCTTTCAACAAACGAAACTGTTCGTTTGCTGCTGCATTAATCCATTTGCTGTCACAAAAACTGCTCAGGAGTTATTTTTCTGCCAGGAGCAGGTTGGTTTTTGGATATTTGTAATTTACAGCACACAGGTGCCATGGAATGACGTYCCTGTGCCCCGTTCCTCCCCTGAGGGCTCTCAGGAATGCAGAGGGGATTTATCCAGAGCTTTTTCTTGCTGCTTTTCCCCTTTTCCTCTCATTTTTCGCCCCGGACTGAAGCTCTGGAGATGGATCCCAACTCTCCCTCTTTCCTTTTGTGCTGGAAAAACCAATCAGGGKGTGGGAGGTGCTGCAGGACCAGCCCTCCTTGGAAAGGGTGGGTGGGTTTTCCTAACAAATCCCGGCTTTTCTCAGGCATGTTCTGAGCTCCTCGAAGGGCTGGAGCCCCCTAGGAAGGGTTGGGAACACGTGCCCCAAATGTCCCACCTCGATTTCCTTCGTGGGTTTGACCCTTTGATGGGAAAGGGAAAAAATATTTTGGAACTTGGAAAAAAAGGAGGAAAAGTGTAACCTCCCCTTTGGCAGGGGKATTTCAATGAGATAATTTAATATGAAAAAATCCTATTTCTCTGTCAACAACATTCAAATTAGCTTGCCTCATGTACATTATTTAATGTAAAGAATATTGAATATTSATATGAAAATGAATATACTGGACATAAAGCAAATATTCTGCCTCGCACATTTTTGCAGTGACACTGATGGAAAAATTCCCAGCCACGGGAAGAAATCCTGGTGCACTCAGCAACAGCCGACCCCTAATATTGCAATTTTCAGGCCCTGTGAAACAAACCTGGGTGTTAACCTCAGGTTCCCTGCAATAAATGAGCTTTGTAGTGCAGGGCCSGGGTTATTTTTGGCCGGGTAACATTTGTTGTGTTCCATTTGCAGCCCTGTCCCCAAGGAGGGCACAATCCCTGCCCCACTCCGGCCTCAACCGCCGCAGGGACGGATCTTCCTCCAAAAATCCCAAAATCATCCCAAAATCRTYCCCAAAATCCYGTTTTTCCGAAGATGCCGCGTGAATTTTGGAAGCTGAAAACTTTGGGGGAARGCTGGACGCTTTTGAAGGTGGGTATGGGCGTAGGAATCGAAACTGGGAGGACGAATTTAGATAACCTTTGCACAGATGGTGGAAGTTTAACATCTCTTGCCGGGTGGAACAGGAGTTTCTTGCCACCCAGCAATTCCAAATAAAGGAAAATTGTATTTTATAATTGCGTATTTACCAGGCTGGAAAGGTTGAAGCAATTTATTTTAAGAAGTTGCCCAAAAAAAAAAGAAAAAAATCAAAGAGGGAAAWTTTTTTCTTGCATCCAAATAGCAAAATTCTTTTCCAAGCAGTGCCTGTTTGATTTTACAGGGGAGAATATTTAATTGCATTAATGCAGTTTGACTCCTGAAGGAATAAAAGTGAAAATTTGGTGACACTTGCAGCAACTGTTGATCTCAGTGATGRTTTTCTCCACGTGGAGCTCACAGCCAAGCTGCTTCCCAGCCTCATTTCCCTCCAATAAAATGGGAAATATTAATTAGTAAAAAAAACCTTGGAAACCTCAGGGAAAGGAGGGGACSCCTCTTGCTTGCAGTGGCAAAAATTTGCTTTTCGAAGCTAAAAATCCTGAAGAAGTTTTATATTTGTGTGGAGTTGGGGTTGGGGAGAATTTCCAACTTGTTTAACAGAGTGAAAAAGGATTTTTTTTTTTATCTGTTAAAAATAGCATTAAGGCAGAACCCCAGCCCTGTAATGACCTAATGAAAGTTAAAACAACTTTTCCRCAGTTGTTTCTTCTCCCTGCTGCAGCCAGGCTGCCAGAATGGAAACAAAACAACTTTTTGCAGGGTTGGGGGATGGCTGTKCATTGTAATTCTGTTTATATCCCAAAACTTTGCTCTTGGATAATTTCCTACCCTGTTTTAGTGTTGTACCTTCAATTCTGGTTGTTAATTTAATTACTGTTGACCTCAGTGCTGTGTAATCACAAGAAATCCTGTCCAGCAAAGCTCTCGTGAGGAAGAAACGCAGATCAGCTTCATTTTGGTCGGTTTCAASTTTTATTTTGTATTTTATTTTGCTGATTTTCTCATGCAAAAGCTCGCATGGGAGTGCAGGAAACTTCAGCTTTTTGTTACAGCAAAGTCAAAAATCAAAAATCACCTTTGGGGTGCTCAGAGAACAAAGGCTCCTCGCTACCAACTGGGCAATTTCACCTGCAGAAATGCTTTTTCTCCTTTTATATCCCCAGAAATGACCCCCCAGCCCTGGCAGAGATCCCTGCCTGCTGCCACAAACCCGTAGATCCGAACTTGTGCTCATATCCCACACAAGCTTGTATCTATAGGTCTGTGGCTGGCTGGCCAGTGCACCCTGGGGTGGGGCTGCAGGTCTCCTCCAAAATATTCTGAGCTCTTTCCCCCTTCTTTTTTCCCCCTCCTCACTCTATTTTATTTAATTTTTAAAAAAATTTAAATTTATTTTATTTAATTTATGTTTTTATTTATTTGTAGAAAAGTGCAAAGGTTGCAGAGCAGTTCCCAGCTCAGCTTTGGGCAATGCTGAGATCTCCCCGTGTTTGGGAAAATTGGAAAAAGGGGATGGGATGGGATGGGATGGGATGGGATGGGATGGGATGGGATGGGATGGGATGGGATGGGATAAGTTTATTGGGATGGGATGAGTTTATTGGGATGAGATGAGTTTATGGGAAATGAGCCTTCAAGAAATTAAATCCCACCCATGTTCTGCCCTGCTCTGGTGATGGGGATGGGATAAGGAAGCTTCTTATGTTGTTTAATTCTGAAGCAGATAAAATAATTTCATTTATAAMCTTACACGGAGCTATTCCTTCTCTGGTGGCAGCAATTTGAGAGAGGAACAGTCACTTCTCCTTTATACCCAGAAATTTGGAATTCACTGCTCTGACCCAGGAGGAGCTTGGCTTTCCAACTCCTATTCTCTCTCAAAAATCAGTTTATTATAAAATCCCATTCCTTCCARTTTCGTGGTGTCTTTTAAATTAGTTTTTAAGAGAAAATAATCGTGCTGGGAAGTCCAAAAGAAGTGCCAGGGCAGGGAAAAACCATGGAAGTGGGCAGTGCAAACCCTGCTGTGCACAAGGAACCTTTAAAGCTGGGAGAGTGGAACAATTCTTTTGAAAGAAAACATTTTTTTTTTAAAACCTCAACGTACAGATTCTATATGAGAATAATTAGGCTGTAAACTCCAAAATAAACTCTGACTATTTCTTTCCAGCAGCTTTCAGTGTTAATTCCACCCAAGATTTGCTCTGCATTTCCACTTTTAAAATTTCTCTGGGTTTGCACTTGGCTGCTTTGACACACGCTGCTCTAGGCCAAAAAAGTTTTTTTTTTCCCCCTTTTTGCTGAATTTCCAGGGTTTTCTAGGTTTTCTGTTTATTATAGAAGCAGAAAGTGATGTCAGAAAAGTCCAGCTACTCCACTTTCTCCCTGTGACTTGAAAGTAGCCTTAAAAAAAAGGAAAAAATTGCGTTTTGGCCTCCTGTGTGTGACGTAAAGTTGGGAATAAAAGCTGGTGCTCAATATTCCCTGAATATTTGGATAGGAAATCAAGAATTAAAGCTGTGCTGCAGCAGATGAGAGGTTTTCAGCAGAACTTTTGCTCCTGGATTGTGGATTCTGCCCGGGATAAGGACCTGGAGTCAAAGTCTCCTTTGGGATTTTGTGAGGGGATGCTGTTCCATCCAGAGTGGGATGAGCAGAGGAGATTGCATCTGATTGGGACGTAAAAATTGATTTTTTCGTTGGTTTGGGGTTTGTGTTTTAAATATTCACCCCATGGGCTGGCTCCAAAGGAAGCAGGGGCTCGTTCAGTCTGAGCTCCAAGGAGAAATGACCTGGTGAAACCCAATAAAATCCAATTTCTGTAGGGTGGTCTCTCCTCTGCAGAACCATTTGGGGTGGAACAGGCTGAGAAAAGCCTGGAATTTGTCATGGAAGCTCCCAGAGGGTGGCACTTGAGGTGACATTGCTTGGAGAGTGCCAAAAGAGCCCTGGAAAGGGAATTGGGTCAGATATTCCCAAAATGAGGGGCCACAGTTTGATTTGATATTTTATTTATTATAAAATCAATGCTTGAACCATAGAGGAGGAAAGAAGAAACAGATTTATTTTTTATTTTCTCCTCCATAAAGCATTTTAGTGCAATTTCTCACTGAATACTTTGGGATCTGCGAATCAATTTCGGATTTTTTTCCTTTTTTATTTTTTCCCCTCCTTTTGGTGAGAGGCTGGGTCTAAACACAGCTGGATGCCCAGAAAGGAAACTTTGGAGAAGTGGCCTCAGAAGTGGGGTGARCTGCAGGTCCTGGGAGGAGGAGCAGGGAGTTATTTCTGAGCCTGAGCTGTTTCCTGACTGCTCCTGGGTTTTTTTTTCTTTGTGTGAATTTGGGGATGCTGCGGGCTCAGCTTTGTGGGACAGGTTCAAGGAAGCCTCTTGGAGCCTCTTAAAGGGGGAAATTCTGGCAGCACCGCCCTGAGCTCCTCTGAGCTCAGATTATCCAATAAACCCAACAAAACCTGTCCTGACTCAATTTTAAGACAATTTTTTTTCAGTTTTGCTCTGGTTCAGCTGCCCCCCTGCTCTTTTTGAGCTCATTCTCCCAGAACTCTCCTTCACCCCTGGATTTCTCAGCCCAACCCTTTGAACAGCCCTGAATTGTGTTCCCAACCTTCATTTGGGTTTCTCTTTTCACTGTTCTTCATTACTTCTGGAGCAAAAACCCGACAAAATAATGTGAAAAACCTTTTAGGGTTTCCTTTTAGGGTGGGGGAGGGTTATGGTTAGGATTAGGGTTAGGATTAGAGTTAGGATTAGGGTTAGGGTTAGGGCTACTTTTAAGGTTTAAATTTAGGGTTAGGTTTAGGGTTAGGCTTGGGGTTAGGAGAGGGTATAAAGGAGAAAGTAAGGGAGGAAATAAGGGAGAAAATTAACGAGGAAATAAGGGGAGGAAATAAGGAGAAAATGTGAGGGAGGAAATAAGTGAGGAAGTAAAGGAGGAGATACGAGAGGAAATTAGAGAACAAATAGGAAATAAGGGAGGAAATAAGAGAGGGAATAACTGAGCAAATAAGGAGATGAAATAAGTAAAGAAGGGAGGAAATAGGAGTGGAAATAAGGGAGGAAATAAAGGTGAAAGTAATGGGGGACATAAAGGAGGAAATTAAGGGATGATGTTTTGGGGGAAGGAATCCAAGAGTGGGGCACACTTCCTGGAACCCAGCAGGCTTTGGTTCAGCTTCCTGAACCAAAAAGGCCATCATCTGTGAGTTCTTTTATTTTTCAGCGTACAGGTGAAACAGAGTCTGTTCCAGGTCTGGATTGAGCTGTGCAGGCCTTGGATAAGCCCCCAAAAAACCCAAAAAAAAAAATTTTTGCGTCATGTAGAATCATCAACAGTTAATCCTGTGCCATCTTCCCCTTTAGGCCTGGCACTGGGGTTCTATTCATTTCTGTTAAACTACAAGATATTAAAATATTGTGCAGAGTGGTGGCTCAGGGTGCTCAGGCTCCTCTCAAAAGCCACTTTTGGTTCAGGAGGGAGAGCCCAACCACCTTTGCCCTGGAAAGGCTCAGATATTGAAATGTCACATTGAGCAAACCTTCAGATTGCTGCAACCCTGGCGGGAAGCTGAGGCAACGTTTTTGTCAGGAGTTGAAAAATTTTGGAGGGTTTTCAAAATATTTCCTTGCTCCGGGTTTCAGCTGAGCCCAGCTGGGGCTTCTTGCCCTGCTTTGMAAGATTTTGGAGTTCCAGCCCTTTTTAGGGGGTTTGCCAGGATTTTAGGAGAGCTCTCTGAGCTGGAGAAAACCTTTGAACCTCTTGAGGTTCCTCATTATGACCAAATTCTAATAAATTTTCACCAAATAATGCAGAAGGAGTGAGGTGACCAGCAGGAATCGTGTCAGCATTTCCAGAGTGAAACCCCCTCATGTMTGAGGTTTATAAAAATCAGCTGCAAAAGAAAATTTAAAAAAAAAAAATTAAAAAAAAAAAATCACTCCAGGCTGAAATTTGGCAAACAGGATCGCAGCCCTCCGACGGGAACGATGTCATTTGTGGGTTTTGTATTTATTTTTTGCTCAATGACTTTGAGAGTATTTTCTGCTTTCCCACCCCCTCCTTGGCAAGCCCTGCCTGGGATCTGAGAGGGAAGGTGGCTTCTTCCTTCTCCAGCCCCAAAGACTCTCAGCCAAACCTCAGCTGACGATTTTCCTGGTTGTAATAAGAGAAAATTCATCTCTTTGAACATCTGCAGTGAGTGTCCATGACTGGAATCCTGTTCAGAGTCTGTAAATGCACAGAAATTGGGATTTAGTGCAGGGGATTGATGCATGAGGCTCTGGTTTATGTCATTGTTTGGGAGTTTTCTGCCCTCTGAACCCCTGGTTTTGGAAAGAATGGGGTATCCCAGCCAGGCAGTTCCCAAAAATCAGCTCTGGGTTGGAATTCTCATCTCGCTCTTGSGGAAATTAAACAGGAAATGTGGGCAGGGGAAGCAGGTTTGGGAATTCTGGGGAATTCTTCCCTCACCTGAAGCTGCTGGAGGGAGCAGGGAGTAAAACCAGTGATGAGTGAGAACTTCCCAGTCCAGACCAGCTTGGACCTGGTGTCTCCTGACCTCAGTGCCATGGGCTGGTGGTAACTCCAGAGAAAAGCCTGAATTTGGCTGGGAAAAGCAGCTCCCGTGGCATTTCCTCTCTGTTTGAAATGAAATATTCACTGAATCCCATCGTTCCTGTGGTGGGACAGCAGCTGGGGTCACGTTTCCTCCAGGAATCAGAGGGTTACGCCGAGAGAAAAGACAATTTTTTTTAATGCCGCTGTTGCTTTAAAACAAGGCTGGCTGGGCTGGGACAGAGATTCCCTTCCGTCCCCAGAAGTGTGAAATCATTTCTGGGATTCTGAAAAAGCAAGAGGCCTGAAAAGGGCCCCGAACAAAAGGCTCTGGGGCCCGGGAGCCGCTGGAGGAACACAGAGCTCCACGTGTTCTCCCTGCCCCGCTGTTTAACGAGAATTTCCCGACATCGGTTCCGTATCGCCGGTGAACGTCGTCATCGGGGTCCTGCTTCGCCCTAATTGCGTAATTAGGTATGATTGTGCTAATTGGGTAAAGGCATAATTGACAAAAATGGCCAGAAAAACAAACAGGGAGCTCGGTGGCACCGCGGGGAAGCGTCCCAAGGGCTGTTTCTGCCTCCTGCACAGAAAACCCTCCAGGCCCAGGCACAGACAGGTGACACCCAGGGACACAAATAATGCCAAARARAWTTTYATATTTTATATAAAAATAGATATYTTACCATTCTATATTTTTAAAATTTTAATAYAAAATATTTGATMTATTTATTTCAATATTTGACCCCAATTCCTAATCTCAGTKCTTCCTGTCATTATTACCAGCATCTTYCATTATTACCAACATCTCTCACCCCCTCTAAATTTAAACCTCTGACGATTTGGAGTCCTTTTTTTTTGTTTTTTAATGATTATTTTCGGTAACTAGAAGCCCCTGACTTTGTGCATTTTTGACTGCATGCATCCAGGTTGAGGTAGTAGGTTGTATAGTTTAGAATTACACCAAGGGAGATAACTGTACAACCTCCTAGCTTTCCTTGGGTCTTGCACACAACGGCRCCAGCAGCGACCACAAATCCTCAGCACTCTTTACTCCGGACACATTGGATGAAAAAGAACAGGTAAGACCAGCTGGAAAAGCTTTTTTTATTTCCTCCTGCTTCTCTAGAAATGTGAATTTTATCAGCGTTTTTTAAAAAAATGTTGGTGCTGTGTTTGATTTTTTTGAGTTTTTAGCAAATCCAGTGATGTTTGTCTTCCTTCRTTAGCCCTGGAGCGGCGCGGCGTTCACGTTCCCAAAAAGCACCATGGAGGCCTGGCCAAGTTCTTGCCTTGGTGGTCAGCAATCAGGAGTCTCCAAAGGTAAAAATATCCTGTATTTTCACCCCCTTTAATTAATTAAATAACTAAGAAATTAATTTCACCCATTAATTTTTAGCTGGCTGAGTTAATTCCACACTGGGAGTTGAACAAGGCTGATGCTTCCACATAAAGCCTGGCTTTGGTGAAAGGACCTAAACCTCCAGAGCCCTCAGGAGAGCTGGGGAATATCCAGTAGGGAATACACTCAGCTGAAATGGGGATTTTTAGGGTTTTTTGTGCTAGGTTTGTACGGTTAAATCGGGTGTTTCAAAGGTTGATACTGGTTTGCTTCTCCCTCGCAGCAGTTTGGGTTRAGGAGCTGTGGGACACCCCAAACATTGTGGAGAAGTTGTGACGCCAAAAAACCCCAAATTTCTGATATTTTTGACATGTCTGAAACGCAGGGAATGCACCCAATGTACCCAGCTGCTCCTGAAATCTCTGATTTCATTTGCCTGAAGATTCGAGACCTGAGAAAACCTTGAAACTCCCCAAAAGTTGGAACAGAAAAGTGAACATTTTGATGCTGGCAGCGCTCAGGGTTGAGGTCCTCTGGGGGCCTGGGTGAAGGTGGTGGCCACAACACTTGGTCAGGGCCCAGGACCTGAACTTAGATCTTCTCTATGAGTAATTCTGGCAAGAATTTTGGAGTTCCCAGAAATCAGAGGCACCGTGTCTTTGCTGARCTTGTGAAGTTAGCGAATAAAAATAAAGAGTAGGCACTGGGTTCATTTCACTGGGTTCATCTAAAKGCTTGAACATGAAAATGACATTTCAAGGTATCTAAATAGCCCAGAAAATTGGTTGGGTTGAGATTTTTTTTGGTTTTTTTTTTTTTTCTTCTGGTAAAATGCCACTTGAAAACTTGACTATCTGCAAATCCCTGTTCACCGAACGCTAAAGGAAGCTGTGAGGTTCTCCAGGGTTACTCAGGGCTCGCTTAGGAGTTATTCCAAGAGTGGATTAGTGGGATTTTATCCCATCTYGCTTTCAAAGAGGTCACAGATTTCACTGCCGTGGTTTACGGCTCTGCAGCTCCTCAGGACAAGGAAAGGATCTGGGCTAACACAACGCTGCTCCTGTGTCTCAGGAAGGCACTGAACACATGCAGGTAGTTCAAAAAAAAGGGATCTTTTTGGCACATTTGAGGCACTGCCTTATTTCCCCCCCCATAAATCTTTTTTTGCAGATGRAAATGCAAATTTTCAGCTGCACTGATTCCCATCCAACGCAGAGTTTTTCTGTGAGGATTGGGTTTTTTAACCTTTTTGGGACTTCTCTAGGAGCAGTTTTGTGAAAAATCCCAAATAAAAACAGACTTTTCTCTTTTTCTTGGTGGCAACGTTTCAGCTTCGCTCCGCACCCTTAAAACAAAACCTCACAAGCTTCAAAAATTGTGGTTATTTCTCCCAATCTCCTCAAACAGAACTTCATGTTCACGGCATGAGACGTAAATGAAAAGCCCCATCCCGCTCCAAAACCCCGAGCAGCGACAATTACAAAGGAGAATGGTCAGTGGTGAGCAAAATTCAATGTGCATATTTTCCCTGGGAACAAAACAGCATTCCAGCTCTCCCCCTGATGAGAGGAATGTATTGTCAATTAATTAGACTCCCATCATATGTCCTCGGATGCCCTTCTATCATATGCCTTCCATATGTCCCTATGTCATATGCCTTCCATATGCCCCCTATGTAATTAAGCTGCCATCATATGGCTCCCATCAGATGCCATTTAAGAGGATTTCCAGGAGAACGTGGCACTGTTGCAGTTATGGACCTTTCACAACGAGGAAAGGAACAGCTCAGGAGCTGCAAACGAGGAGAGGAGGAGGCAGAAAATGAAGGTGGATCACCCTGAGTGCTGCTGGGTTTGTTTTTCTCGCAGTGAAGGGATGAAATTGTCTGATTTTCCTGAGTTTCCATTCCCGTTTTTCACTCAGTTCAGCCCGTGGCCAGTCAGGCTGAGAGCAACTGTTTTTTGGGGAATGTTTCTGCTGGAATGTGAGATGGGAAAGAAACAATCCACCKCCCACAAAAGCTTTTGTCCCGTGACAGCAAAATGTGAACTTTGTCATGTTTTGGGTCCCTTTATGTGAAATGAGGAACCAGAAATGGGAAAATTCATGGAGAGGAGATGGCACAGCCCACGTTCATCCCTGCTCTCCCYCCTGTGCTTCTGTAGAGGGAATTGGGCTTCTCTTGGAGTGGGGATGGCTTGGGAGGTTCAAAATTTACTGGGACTTTTAGGGGTAAAGGCCAAAAATAGGCACTGAGGTTTATATGTGTACTGAAAAAAAACTGCAAAAATCAGAGGAATTACGATGTCTTGGAATGGTCTCTGATGCCAGGACAGCTCATGTACAGTTGTATCCCTGTGCCTTCCTTCTTCCCAATGACTTTGGAGACTTTTTTCCTACTCCCAGTCAGATCTGATGGAAGAGCAGTGACTTACGAGGGTGCTCTGCTGCAGCTTTGCAGGAATTGAAGAAATCCCAGCCCTGCATCCAAAAATCTCAGCCATGCACCCAAAAAACCCAGAAATCCCAGTTTCATATCCAGCAGTCAGCTAGGAGGCCGAGAGGACAAAGAGAAGGTAAAATAGTTGTTTGTGCCAAGGTGTTCTCTCAGTTAAAAGGTTCAGAGCAGTTTGCAGCATATCCCAGTTCACCTAGATTAAATGGCAACAAACTCCCACTGGCTGGGAACCAGTGTATCCCTAAAAAATTCATATTTCAGCAGCTAGAGAATGCTAAAACTATGCTAAAAAAATGATATTTTGAGGGGTTTTTTTTTCCCCTAGATTTAGTCAGTATTGACCAAAAAACCTATCCTATATGTGCATTCTGTACAATCTGTAACACGGGTGCATTCCTGACAGACAGGTGACAGCTCTTGCTCTGTCTCAATCTTTAGTTTTCAACTCAATCCTCATTTAAATCCCACCCACAAAACACAACCAGCCCATCTGAAAGCTTTAGGTCATTAGGGAAATGATTTGGGRAATACATCGTGGTCTTGCACCATCATTAGTTTGCCACGGTCATAAAGTGAATATTAAGGGAAGCCTTTAAACCTCTCGTAGAGCACCACTGAAATTATCTGCCCAGAATTCCTCCTCAAGTGCTGTGTTTCGAAATATTTTACTCTTCTGGCTTGCTGGGCAGCRARAAAATACTCACAGCAGTGCTCATGGAAGATTTTCTTTTGCTTCTCTGTTCTCACTCAGTTCTGATTCTTGGGGAAGATGAAACTTTCACCATTAGACGGATTTTTTTTCCTTTTTTTTTTTTGTTTTCAAACAGCAAATTCCATCTATTTCCACACCCAGCTGAAACTCTGCTGCCACCCTCCTCCATCAGATGCACCGAGCACAGATCTGTGCATGGAAGTTCTGTAAGAACTGGGCTGGGATGGAGTGGAATGCCAGAATGACTCATTGTTTGGTGAATAAGGCCCTGAGTGTTCTATTGATGCCATTTCTAAATCGGTGGAGAATGTATAGAATTCGTGTCATAACTGGAATTCCGAGCGCAGCAACCTCAGGAGCTGAATTCTGGTGATGATGATGATGATGATGATGATGATGATGATGATGATGATGATGATGAGGTTCTGCAGGAATTCATCTGGATTCTGACACACTGAAAGCAGTTAAAATTAAGATAATTTCATTCCCAGAAATTTGGAAATGCTGCTCCTCCCACCTTTGGGAGAGGGGAGTTGCCTCTGTGTGTGGTGTGTGAGGGTTTGAAAGTGTAAAATCTGAATCCATACGGGACACAGACGTCCTTTCAATTAGCTGGGGACATTGATTGCAGTGCTCAGTGGAAGGATGAGCGGCTGTGGAGCAGCTCAATATTTGGAAACGAGCAATTTGAGGCCTGAACAGAGATAAGAACGCACATTTCTCCCTTTTTAACCAACTTCTTCCTTCTCTTTCCCTCTTCTTGGGGGTTTGTATGTGAAACCAGGTGAGGTTCAGCATTTCCAGTGTGAGTTTTTTGAGATTTCAGTCAAACTCATCATGGTGGTGTTGGACCAGCAAGGTTCAAGCAATAAAAGCAAACGCGAGCAGAAAAGAAATTTCATGTTTGGAAATTTCCCACAGCAGAGGAAGATTCAAAATATCTGGGAATTCACCCCCCCCCTTCCTTTTTTCTTTGTTCTTTAAATAAGACAAAACTGCTTGCCCTGACTCTGCTGCTGCTCCAGGCAGTCCCACTTGCGTATATTTAGATTTATACATTTAAAATATAAAATGTATCCTCCCCGAGCAAATAATCTTTACGTGCTGTAGGGTGAAATGAGCTCTTTGTGCAATGTCATGGCCCTGTTTCCTGGCGAAATAAGTTCAAGAATCAGGTTTCTGGGGCAGCCATGGAAAGAAATTGAAATTTTTCCTTCTGTCTTATGAGCGGTGACTCCTCCTTCCCATCACTTCCAGATCCCTTTTTAAAGAATCATTGAATTCTTGATGGGCAAATTTGCTGCTTTTTTGTCTTATATTCAGTAGATTTTAAACTGAAGCCATGAATTTAGGTTTTTTTGAGGATTTTAGGTGTTGTTCCTCCCCTGCTCAACACTGAAGTGAAATTTTTTGGGATCCAAAGACACTGAGACAACACAGGAGCTGTTCCCCCAAATCTGAGAGGACAAAAAGTGGATAAAATGGTGCCAGCAAAGCTGGTCCCMAACAGAGAAAAATCTGAAAGGATGTACTAAACCATTCCCACCAGAAAGGAAAAAACCAAATTCTTTTCTGAGGAAAAGAAAGGATGAGGAGGGAGACTGGGAATCTCCCGGTTTCACAAAGTGAGTGCAGTAAAATTAAATAGTGGCAAATTGAATATGTTTTATAAAGAAATCCTTTTCCCACCAGTATTTAATTTTTAAAAAAGGGACCTAATTGCTTGTAGAAGTTAATGGGAACTTTGGAACTTTTGAACAGATTCAATACTTCTGGTTTTAATAACCATACATAGAATTATGGTCACTCATTGTAATAACTTTGGAACTGAGCTTAGACTCCACAAGGTTTGGGATGAAATGCAGCAGCTCGAGAGCAGCAAAAAACCAGCAGGAAAGGCAGATTTGGGCTGTCCAAAGCTGCTCATTCTTGTYCCATTTAGGGGAGGAATTTTGGGGAAGCCTGGAGCGTGGCCTGGTCTGTGCTGGGCTCCTCCAAAGGATTATTGGCCACTGGCAAATCAAAGTTCAGGGTTGATGGATGTTTGCTCTTCTCTGGGCTCACAGGCTGAACAACTGCAGTGCTGCAGCATTAATGATGAATATTCAAATGTCTGGGCTGCTCASTAACTCCTTTCCAGCGAAAATGGAAGCAGAGGAAGGGGAATGACTTTTCCAAGGCCATTCAGGGCATCATTGGAGCACTGGTACCAAACCCAGGTCAGCCAGACCCAGATCTGCATTCAGTTTCCATCAGTTTCTTGTAATCCTGGCGTTGCCAGAAATTACAAAAATTTCTGCAGCCGTGGGGGTCCCACCTGGCTCTGCTTTCCCACCCCCTTTTTATTGTGAGAAAATCATCGTTTCACCCCTAAACGATCCTGAATGGAGATTTGTGGCTGTGACAGCTCAGATTTGGGGTCACCACAATCCCTGGTGATCGTGGGAGCCCCTTTGAGTTTGATTTCCTCGYGTTTGGAGTGGCCTCTCATCCCCTCTGACAACAAACGGCAGCTCCCAGGAGAGGGGTTTGCAGAAAAAGGGGRAAAAAAGGGGAAACAGGAAGGAAATGGAGAGGGAGAAAGGAAAAGAGGAAGGAAATAGGAAGAAGGGAAAATAGGAAGGCAGAAAAGAAGGGAAAAGGGGAAGGAAATTGGAAGGGAAGAAGGAAAAGCAGGAAGAAAATGGGAAAGGAARGGAAGGGAAGATGGGAAAACTGGAAGGAAATTGGAAAATAAGGGAAAGGAAAGAAATGGGAAGGGAAGAAGGGAAAAGAGGAAGGAAATGGAAAGYGAAGAAAGCAAAACACAAAAAATCACTGGCAGGTTTTATTTCCTATAAGAAAAATCCCACTCCAAATTACTGRAAGCCCTTTTCTGTGGGCCACTGTTTGCTCCTGGTGAGGAGGGGCTTGGTTCACTCAGGATTTTCCTCTCTGACAGGAGGTGGCTCCTGGGTTAAGTTACAGTGGAGATGCTTCCCRTTGCCATTCCTGTGGATTCTGCTCTGAATTTTGGGTATGGAATCGATGTCTTTTGGTCTCCTCCTGTCCCTGAGTCAGCTCCCAGGTTGTGAGCACGTCTTGAGCAGCGTTGCCTTGAGCCCTGGGGTTGATGAGTTCTGTGAGTTCATATTTTTGTTTGCTTCATATGTGAAACGGGTCTGAAACCTTCAGAGAATCCCAGGATGGTTTGGGTTGGGAGGGACCTTAAAAATCATTTAATTCCCTCTCCTGCCATGGACAGGGACATCTTACACTATCCCAGGGTGATCCAAGMCATGTCCAGCCTGGCCTTGGGCACTKCCAGRGATCCAGGGGCAGCCACAGCTTCTCTGGGCASCCCCTGCCAGGGCCTCCCTACACAATCCCTYCCCAAAATCCCRTCTAAACCTCCCCTCTGYCCTTTTGAAGCCATTTCTGGAACAACAGCAAGCACAGAATGAATCTCTCCTTTCCCTGGGTAGCTGAGTGAGGTTGAAAAGCCTCAAACAGGACAGAATTCCCTTGGGAAGCTCCAGGATGGTGAAGCAGCTCCCTCCCTGCCTCGCTGCCACATTGCATCACATCTGAGCGGGGCTTTTTGCATTATAGATCAGCCCAGCCTTGTCCTCAGATGGCCTCCTCTGGAGAAGACCATTTTTAAATCTTTAATAGGGCATTAGAGCAATTTGCCTGCGCTTCAGCTCTAAGTGGGCAAAGAGAGCGGTGACAAACGCGGCCGGGAGGCCCTGAAATTCTTTGAATATTCCATGTTTTCCTGGAACTGCGGGGGGAAAGGCTGCCAGAGAGGTCTTGGCAGGTTTTCGAGGTGGCTGGCCAAGTCTGAAGCAAACGTGGATGGCGAACGGGGTRAGGCGTTCAGACGCACAGAACATACGTTCTCGTCGCAGAAATCCCACCACATGGAGGAGCAAATGCTGTGCTAACACATCTTCCTGAAGGAAAATGGCAAGGGGGAAAAAAAATATCAAAAAATATCATCCTGGCACGGTGAAATAAAGGTTCTTTCGCCCTTGGTTTTTAGGGACTTGGGGCCGGCAGCTGAAGGAAATGAAATCCAGTGGCTTTCCCAYGAGGGCCCCTTGTTAATCAGGAATGGCTTATGAAGGAGTGGTTTGTGTCTCGGGGAAGAGGCAGAAGTTGTTCAAAGAATGGATTTCCGTCGCCAGATTGACTTTTTGTTGGTGCCATGCGAGTAATTAAAAATGGCAATTAAGCAGGGAAGTGATCAAGCGATCGCTTGGGAGCTGCAGTTGGCTCCAGGTGGAGAAGCAGCTCCAGCAAGGAGCAGGGACCACCCATGTGGGTCAAACAGKGAGAATTTGGGGCTGGGACTCAATTCAAAACATGGTGTCCTTCACTCAACTCTGGTTTGGTTTTTTTTCCTGAAAAAAAGCTGGTAAAAATAATACCTGTTGAGGTTGTTCGATTAAAGTTTTAACTGTGGCTTAAATTCACCTTGCAGAAAGTTTAGGGACATTTTGGTGTTGGGAGGGGCTCCCTCCTCTGGGAATTGGTGTTTCCAGTGGGAAATGTGAGTTTGGATTTCTTGGAGACAGCAGGTGAATGAATATTGTCATTTTAATCTCATCCCTTGTTTTGTACAGCTCATGGGGGATGCCTYGTTTGGTTACTGATGGGGCAAACCCTGCACAGCCTCAACCCTTCAGAGTGAAACCTTTGATTTTTCTTTATTGAGCCCAGAAATTTTGCCGTGGACTCCCCGTGGGGTCTGGGATGAGTCATTTATTTCCCTTTGGTTCTCTTCCCTGCCTATAAAATAGAGATCCTTGTTCCTCCTGAGGAGAGCAGTGAAGGCAGAGGAGCTGATCATGGATGAGCTGTTCACAGACACTCACGTCGGGATTGCAGCGATCACACTGGGCTGAAATGCTTCTGATGGATTCTCTCCGTACTGACACATTGTTTAGCTTCACAGAGCTAACCCTGATAATATTTATCACCCAAAACTATTTTTATGCCATCAGCTCGAGAGCGTTATCACATCCCATTCAAAATCCTGAGCGATGTTATTTATTATCACAGTAATCAAGGTGAAATTTGGGTTTTTTTCTGGCTGTTTSCTCCATGCTGCTGCTGTCTTCGTGCATTTAGGCAGGAGTGAGCCCAGGGTGGAGCAGAGGGCACCGGGAGCTGTGCCTGCCTCCCRCTGCTATTTCTGGCATTCGACACCGAGCAGTGTCTGCTGGGCCAAACTACAGCCTGACACTCATCCAGTCTGTCACATCCCTCTCCAGACGTGGCTCCCTGGTTTTTAATCCTCTCCCAACACCRGTGGAGTGGCTGGAATGGAGTTGGTGTGTGGAGTTCTCTGTGGTTCCATCATGGACAGAATTCCCCATTTGGAGAGCACAGACCTTTTATTTCTTTGACAGCAGCACTGAAATATCTCAGCATCCTGGGGTTTCCCCAGTGAGGAGAGATCCCTCTTCCCCAGGAATTTGCAGTCAGGGTGGATAAAGCAGGCAGGAGAGAGGAAGGGATGGAGAGATCACCCAGGGCACTGAGCACGTGGAGCATGGGCTGGGAACCCTCACTGATTTGGGATTCCTCAAAAAGTGCCTGAAACTTGCAGTTCTTCCCTTGTGAGAATATGTTTTTGTTTTTGTTTTTTCTTTTTAAAATTGTGACGATTACAGTGGTAGAAAACCTGGGAAAAATATCTTTTTTTTATCTTTTAAGTATTTCCACCCTCTATTGATTATCCCAGCATAGGCTGGGAGCCCTCACTGTTGATTTGGGATTTTTTGATCTGGGGATGTGCCAGATCCTGCCTGTCCCTGTGCAGGAACAGTCCCTGGCACCCACCACCAGCTGGACAAAATATTTGGGTGTCCTACACTTTGGTTTCATTCTTAAACAGTACCTGAAACTTGTGTTTTTCTCTTGTGAGAAGATATTTTTTGGTTTTTTTTTCTTTTTAAAATGGTGACAATTACAATGGTAAAAACCGGGGGAAAATCTCTTTATTTTCTCTTTGAAGTATTTCCACCCTCTCTTCATTTTCTGGCGATGGATGGAGTTGGGGTTTAAGGAGAATCCATTTCAAAACTGGGGAATTGGGAAAACCCAATCACCACTTTTTAGTGCAATACCCTGTTGGTTTGGAGGGGGAATTGCTGAATAAAAAGGGTTTGGAGGTGGTGAAATGGGGCTTGAACGTGATTTTGAACCCTCTCTGTTCAATACCAGGAGGTCAGATGAAGGTGACCAAAGGGATCTGGACGCAGCAGCTCCTCCCAAGGACTCACAGCACTCCAGGCACGTGGTAAGTGCTGTCCTGGTGGTTCTTTATTTTTACAGAATATTGATTTGATCCGTGATTTGGTGTGGAATTGGTCTGCAGAACAGTGAGGCTCGMWTTAGAAGCTTYTGCTTGTCCAGAGCACTGTTCTGGRAATGCCCAAACCATGAYATTTTTACCCAGTTTTGCTCTCCATGGATGTGCCCCTCACTCTGGATTTGTACCTTTCCTCACATCACTTGAATTCTCAATTTCTATGGAGATTCTGTTGAAATTCCAGGGCTTTTTACTCCCCTGAAGACATTTTATTAATTTGTAAATCATTCTCCTCTGTGCTGCCCATTCTGGGCATTTTAAAGGTATTTCCAAACTGATTCCTGTGTGCTTTGCCCAGAGTGAAGTTATTGACTCAAAAAGGCCTCGAGGTTTCCCCGTTAATGCTGAAGTCTCTAAAGCCTCCTCCCTGGCTGAACATCCCTTCTCCTGTGTGTTTTCCCTTTTGAATTGCTAATTCCAATTGATCTGAAGAAAAAAATATTGTAATAGTTTGTATTTACTGCATTTTCTGCTGCAACAGCACCTACCAAGGTCTCGCCTTYCTTTGATCCTGTCTCAATGATTGAATTCATTCTTCCTTTCTGTTTTCCAGCTTCTCTCTGCAAACTTTCTGTCACTCYCATTTCTGCAAGAATTTCCTGCAAACCACGTCCCTAAGAGGATTAGTGGAGGGGATACCAAATTTTATTTATATTTATTTATAAATGGGCTGCAGAGACTTGGCCCCTTTTAAAATATGAGAACAATTTTCAGGCCTCTTTCAGTTGTGGTTGTTTCACTCAAAAAAAAAGGAACCAAAAAAACCCCAAAAACCCAAACCCAACAAATCACAGAACAACAGAGAAACATGAGAAGTTGTGGAAACCCCTCAAACTTTCTCTGTTTGAATTTTGAATTCCTGGTGGTCACAGGACCAGGTGATGCTGCCAGTTGTGGGGTTTTTTGGTAGTGCCCAGAGCAACGAGTTAAATGCAAAGATGGAATTAAATCAGATAAAATCCCACCTCAATTTTTTTTATTTGTGCCAGCCTGGAGGCCTTAAACRTTTTGTAATTTGAATCTTTGCAAAACAGGGCTGCTGGACTCCAGTGAAAGCAGTGTCCGGATGTCGGTGGTGATTCATAAAAGCAATTAAAGAAAAGGAAAGTGCTTTTCCTCTGAGTGTAAGGAGGATGTCCTTAAGTGAGTGTGAAACGCTCCAGCAGTGGTCAGGGGATGGGGGCTGTGRTGTTCCAGCTCATGGATCTGTTTCCAGCAAAAACACTTCTTTATCCTGTGCTGCTGCTGATTTAAATTTTTCTCAGGGAGTCCTGGAATTTTTGGGGTTGGAAGGGAGCTCTGGAGATGCCCAGGCAGGGTCACCTGGAGCAGGTGACACGGGGACACAGCCAGGTGGGGCTGGGATGGCTCCAGAAAACCCAAAACATCCCTGGGCAGCTGCTCCAGGGCTCTGCCACCTCCGTGGGAAGTTTTCTTTAGGTTCAGCAGTTAAAACTTTAACTGAACAACCTTCACAGGTATTATTTTTACTGGCTTTTTCAGGAAAATAAGATGGGACTTGTGTTTTGTCATCAAAAACAGCCTRGCCCCATCCTCTGTCACACACCTTGGGGATATTTGTATGGATTTAACTGAATTTTATTTAGTTTCTACCCAATGTAGTTCCCATTTCTTCCCTCTTAAATTTGAGGAAAAGCCTCCTGAGGATGGAACATTTCCCACTGGAGAAATGTGGTTGTTGCAACACAAATATTGGCGATGATGGATCATTGAAACTCATCAAATATGATTTTTTTTTCACCCCTAGTGCAACTCCCTGGCATTTCTGACCTTGCCCAAACACAAACCACCTCATTTGTAGAGCTTTAAAGTGATTTTTCAGGGGCGAGGCCGAGTTTGGTGGGAACATGATGGAGGTTGTTGTTGTACATGAGGATCCATCAGCACGGCCACGTTACCCAAGCGAGAAGCAGCCCCTGAAATGTTCCTAAAACTTTCCTAAAACGTTCCCTAAAACTTCACAACCATCCTGGTGGCTCTTAGGGGTGTTTATCTGGCTGTCCTAGAGCAGGAACTTCCAATATTCCACCTTCTCCAGGTGGATTCCTCTCTGTTCTTTTGCAAATATCAAAATTGTGGCTTCCATTGGCTTTGCCTTCCCATCCTGCCCTCGGTTATCCCATTCCAAGGGAAGCAAAAGGAGTTTACTGATTTATCATGGATCATTAGGTGGAAGTAACTATTCTTAAAACATCAGGATGGATACAATAATTAGGGATGTGCTTTTGTTAACACCGCCAGCCTCGACCCTCTCGTACAGTACCCTTGGGTCCTAAATAATTACCCACTTTGTGTGGTTATCTAGCTCACTAATTACCCACAAAAATTGGGGTCAGGTGTTAACTGCTTGAAATAAGTATCCTCCAAAGGCTTGGGGAAAGTGTATCAAGAAATTATGTGTTTGCTGCAAAACTTTGGGAAAAAAAAAAAAAGGAAAAATCAAACATTATTTTTTTTTTGGTGGGAAGGAAGATAAGGAGACAATGGATGTGAAATGTTCAGYGTGATGGCAAAATCTCGCAGTGATGGTGAGGGACTCTAAAGGGAGTGAAAGGATGGTTGGCAGATCCAGTCACTAATCTGGTCTACTTTTCCCAAAGATTAGATCCTTCAGCACACAGGGTTTGATTCTTCCCCTATCTAGGCTGATGCCAATCAGGATTACGCCAATATAAATAAGAAAATTTGGATCTGTGCATTCCCAGACTGACTTTGCTGCATAACCCCACCTCTTCCATCACCCAGGCACTTCTGCATTGCGCCCAATAATTTAATTATGGATTGGATATTTATTTCCACGCGTTTATTTTTGCTGCCTCCAGCCCTGTGTGCGCGCAGAGCTCCGTTCTGAGGCCGCTGCTCATAAAATGCAGTTCGCTTGGAGCAATAATTTGATTCCTGTGCTCAGGGAGTTACCCCAGTGAGTCAAAGATTTCTAGATAGCCCCACCCTCCCCAACTTCCCGAACACTCACACTGCGGCCGCTTTCTCTCTGCCAGACCCACACAAGATGTCTAACTAGCCAAAATCCCGAGGGGCARTCCCAATCTCCTGTTTCAGCCCCAAAAAATGGGAAATAAAGCCACGGCAGCTCTGAAACACCCGGCACGTGTAAGGGAGGGATGTTGAGCCGCCCGTCTCCCTAACCTGGTTTCTTGCATAGGTGCTCCCTGCCTTCAGTACAAAAGAAACAGATTTTGGGGGAGCTGAGAAGGTGATTCTAGAAATCTTTGGGGTTTTGGATGCCCGGATACCTTGAATTCCTGAGCGTCTGTGCGGTGCTCAGCGTTAACAAAGAAACCGCCGGGATTTATTGCTGTATTTCGCGTTAGGTGCTTCCTCTCCTCCATAGGCAGAACCACCTCCCGTTCCTACAAACACCTTTTGAAGGCTGTGTGGATTCAGGTATCAGACACCCCCATCCCAAATGTTTGGGTAAACGGAGGGGGGGATCTGGGGAGGGTCCCCGAGCCGAGGCGTGAACTCGGTTTTGGGGCTACCTGCGCCCCGCTTTGTGCCGAGCATCCCTGGGAAAGGCAGGGCTCAGGCTCCTAAAGCACAATGCAGATTTAGTCGTCATCTTTGTCTCTCCCCCCGCGCCCCCCCCCCGCTCCACTCCCCGCTGATGTTAACTGTCTGTATTATTATTTATTGTTATCAGGGGATTTGGTTTGATCAATGAAGTGTATATGCGTCTGACGGACATTCGGGGAGGAAATGCTTGGAGAATGAGTAACATGTCTGCAGCGGAGGGTGTGTGAGAGGGAGAGAGAGGGAGCATCGGTACTAGAAACATTGACTGATGAGTTCATTTTAAAATCCAAGGGCATATAGCTGGTAAATTAGCACATATTGCAAATATAGTCTGGTGCGAGAGGCAGCAGCGCTGCCATTGAGCGGAGGGGTGGGTGTGGAGGGGAACGGGGGGGTCGAGGAGAGGAGATTGTCAGCTCTAAAGTCATCACGGGCATGAGCCAGGCAGTCTGCCTGCCTCACTGCAGACGTGGGGCGTGCGATTTCCACGGGCGGCTGCGGGCTGCGGCGTGGCGGAGGGGGGGAGCGGGGGGCACCCGGGAGAGCCAGCGCTGGATTTTATTGTTTTAAAATCCACAGCCAGCCGGAGGGATGCGAGGCGAAGGGCTGCAGCCCCTCGGCTTKCCCCCCGCACCCCTTTCAGCCCCCTGCACCCCCTTAGGAAGGCGGAGAGGGGGGAGCGGCTGCCCGGAGGGTGCCGGGGTTGGTACCCGGCGGGGATGCGGCGGGGCCGGGGATGCGGCGGGGATGCGCCGGCGGGTTTCTCCCGGCAGCTTAAGAGATTATTGGGGAGGGGTGACCGGGAATGGTGTGTGCGAGCGTGTGAGAGCGTGTGAGTGTGARTGTGTGTGTGCGGGGCTGGCGGCGGGGGGAGCCGGGTCCTTATTCTGTTAAAGATTTAAGTAGGCATGCAAGGAATCTCTAGGATAGTTGGCAAAGGGCGAGGGTGGGGAGCTGGGGGGAAGGATCCAAAAGAGTCTGTAACCAGACACTGAAGCTTTCCAGGAGTGAGAGTGTGTGAGAGAGAAGGAGACAGAGCGAGAGGAAGAGAGGGGGCAGTGTGGTCTAGTACATTTTCATCTGGTCGTTGATTTGAGCCTGATGCTTGCTGTCCCTCAACAGCCTCCCTTGCCTGGATTTTTTCTTTCCCCCTCTCCTTTCCTTTCCCTTCTACTTCATCGAAGCCTAGGGGAGCCAGGAAAGATTAAATGTGCTTTCGAAAAGGCAGCCACTTCATGCAGCTATGTCTGCTTTCCCCCCCACACCCCCCAGCCACCCCCCCAC